ACTACAAGCAATGTGCAATTATGTGAGTGTTTGGGGATAGCATGTGGAACAGGGCATGGAATGGGGTGGGGGTGAGGGAGCTTCATGGAGATAATGGAATTTGAAAGCTTGATAGGCATACAGAAAAGAAGCCTGCTGCAAGCGGAGAAGATAGCCTGAGCAAATAGAGAGGCAAGAAAGTATTTGACCTGTTTAGATATCCATGAGTATTGAGGTCTTTTTGAGGATTATGATTGTTTCTGATTCACCTTTGAGTTGTGCACTGTGCCCAACACACAGTACGTTACTTGTTCTGTGAACTTAATGAATACTTACTGAACTACATTTTTTGTTCTGTATCATCCTTCTGAGAGCACCTTTCTCTGTGTGCTAATGTGTTGTGCCTTTGTTCACAGATATGTATTTTGCAGGAAAACAAGTTAAATCATATGATCTCAATGACTTACATGCATTAGTTGGCATTCTAAAAGAAACAGACTTCTTTTAGATCAGCAAAGAACAGCTTTTATATAAATTTTATATTTCTTAAATTGTATTTCTATTATAACCTGTATCTCTGGAACAATTGTTTTTTAGATTTGTGAAGAAAACATTTCTCCTGAGTTACTTAGTTTTTTGGGAAGTTAAAATTTAAGTCATTAAAGCAGCAGGTAAACTAATAGCAACCCCAACCAAGTATACTTTTGTTTAAATAACAGCTAAGTGAAGTTTGTACTTTTATGGTAATTTAATGAAGAAATAATAGATAAATATATAAGAAATAAGGTTTACACTTCTGGCCAAGATGGAGGCGTAGGTAGACACACTGTGCCTCCTCACACAACCAAAAGAAGGACAAGAAATTTAAAAACAAAAAACAACCAGAACTGACAGAAAATCAAACTTATGGAGGTCTGACAACCAAGGAGTTAAAGAAGAAACATTCATCCAGACTGGTAGGAAGGGCAGAGTTGGGCAGCTGTGTGGTTAGGACACACGGCAAGGTGGCAGCTGGCGGACCAGGCAAAGCAGTGGCTTGCAGACTGGGTGGTCCCACATTTGCTTGTAGATAAACTGGGAGGAACAACTGGGGAGTGAGACAGACCATGCAATCCAGGGTTCCAGGTGGGAAAATAAAGCCTCAAAACCTCTGACTGGAAACACTTGTGGGGGTTGAGGCGATGGCAAACTCCTAGCCTCACAGGAGAGTTTGTTGGAAAGACCCATCGGGTCCTAGAATATACTTCAACACCACTACTTGGGAATCAGCACCAGAAGGGCCCAATTGGATTGTGGGAAGCGGGGGAAGTGACTGAAAACTGGCAGAGAGCAGAGCAAGTGTCACTGTTCCCTCCCAGACCCCTCTCCCACATACAGCGTCAGAACGCAGCAATGTGGGTTGCCCTGTCCTGGCGAACACTTAAGGCTCTGCCCCTTACTATGTAACAGGCGCATCAAGACAAAAAAAAAGTGGCCCAAATGAAAGAATAGTTGAAAGCTCCAGAAAACATGCAACTAAGTGACAAAGAGATAGCCAATCTATCAGATGCACAGTTCAAAACACTGGCTATCAGGATGCTCCAGGAACTCACTGGGTACTTCAACAGCATAAAAAAAACCCAGGCAGCAATGAAGGTTGCATTATGTGAAATAAAGAAAAACCTACAGGGAACCAACAGTGACAGGAAGGAAACTAGCACGCAAATCAATGGTTTGGAGCAGAAAGAAGAAAGAAATATTCAACCAGAACAGAATGAAGAAACAAGAATTCAAAAAATAAGGAGAGGCTTATGAACCTCCAGGAACCTTTAAACGTTCCAACATCTGAATCATAGGGTTGCCAGAAGGAGAAGAGGAAGAGCAAGATATTGAAAACTTACTTGAAACAATAATGAAGGGACCTCCCCCAATCTGGCAAAGGAAATAGACTTCGAGGAAATCCATGAAGCTCAGAGAGTCCCAAAGAAGTTGGACCCAAGGAAACACACACCAAGGCACATCTTAATTACATTACCCAAGATCAAAGATAAGGAGAGAATCTTAAAAGCAGCAAGAGAAAAGGAGACTGTTACCTACAAAGGAGTTCCCATTAGACTTTATCAGCTGATTTCTCAAAATAAACCTTGCGGGCAAGAAGGGGCTGGGAAGAAGTATTCCAAGTCATGAAAGGCAAGGACCTACATCCAAGATTACTCTATCCAGCAAAGCTATCATTTAGAATGGAAGGGCAGAGATAAAGTGCTTCCAAGATGAGGTCAAGTTAAAAGAGTTCATCATCACCAAGCCCTTATTATATGAAATGTTAAAGGGACTTACCTAAGAAAAAGAAGATCAAAACTATAAACAACGAAATGATGACAAACTCACAGCTATTAACAACCGAACTGGAAAAACAAAACAAAACAAAACTAAGCAAACAACTAGAACAGGAACAGAATCACAGAATTGGAGATCACATGAGTGGTGATCAATGGGGGAGTGGGAAAGGGAGAGAGGGGGAAAAGGTACAGAGAATAAGTAGCATAAATGATAGGTAGAAAAATAGCCAGGGGAGATTAAGAATAGTATAGGAAATGGAGAAGCCAAAGAACTTATATGTACAACCCATGGACATGAACTAAGCGGCGGGGAATGTGGTTGGGGGGGTGTGCAGGGCAGAGGGGAAAAAAGGGGGGGAAATGGCAAACTGTAATAGCATAATCAATAAATATATTTTTAAAATTTTAAAAAATAATGAACACATTAAAAAAGATTTTAGTATTGTAAGGATCATTTTAATTAAAAGATAACCATAAAACAAAAAGAATTAAGGTTTAGAAATCATAGTCTTTTTAAGAGTTTTTTTCCCCATCCCTTGAAAAATGGTAATATCTATGGGGAAGAAGCTATGGGGCTGACATTTCCTCAATTTTATTTGCATAAGAAAATTCACCTAAAAATACAGTATGTACACAATGACCAAAAAATCATAGACTTAACGTCTTGATTACTGACCTTTTCTTGCATGACTGCAATACATTCCTTGTAACAGTTTTGTGGACTGGTTGATTTCCTTGCCATTATTCCTAACATTAGAACAGTAGGTACTGTGTTGGTCCACTATTTATGTTATTTTAATCAGGTTTTAAAAATCTCTCTCTAATTTTCTCTCATGTTTATAATATAATATGAGCTACTAATTTGAACACATGTTTTATTCATTTACTCATTCAAATAATATTTAATGCATCCCTACTCCATATCTGACTATTTCATAAATGCTATAGAGGCTGTAAAGATGAACAAAACATTAGTTCTTTGAGGCACTCTTATCTATGACAATTCAACTTTTTTCAGTGATAGGATGAAATTATTCTGATTAATCTACATTATTGTGTATTTTACATACCCAGCTTACATTGTGAGGTCGTTTTAGAGAAGTCAAGGGTAATATAGAAGAGAAATTTACTCTGTGCAAAGCCAACTTGTCAGTTTAGGGTTGAATCCATGAGCTTCATCCTTTTACCTAGCACTCAAATCCAGAGTCTGTCTGAATATGTGGCTATTCTTTTGACTCTTGAGAACTCAGTTCTTTGAGCTTTCCCTTAGTCTTTGGAACTTGATTCAGATTTTATTTTTGTTGAATTACAGTAGAGATTTTATTTTTGTTGAATTACATTATAGTGCTGATAACTAAAACAGAATATTAGACCTTCTGGAAATTAAAAAAAATTTCTTTTTCTTTAGAATTATAGGAATCATAAAGAAACACTTTGAGATTCCTGGCTGGTGTGGCTCAGTGGATTGAGTGTGGACCTGCAAGCCAAAGGGTCGCTGGTTCAGTTCCCAGTCAGAGCACATGCCTGGGTTGCAGGCCAGGTCCCCAGTATGGGGCAGAGGAGAGGCAACCACACATTGATGTTTCTCTCCTTCTCTTTCTCTCTTCTTTCCCCTCTCTCTAAAAATAAATAGATAAAATATTTTAAAAAATAAAAACAGTAAAAGAAGAAATAGCTTGAGAGACTTAACACTATGCAATGATAATAGGTGATGCATTTCAAGAGTGTCTTACCATATTAAGTATTCAAAACTGTATATATGTATATAGTTTTCAAAGTATTCAAAACTATATATGTGTATATAATATATATATAATATGTACATTATTATATAGATATAGCCTGCCCAATTTTTATTTTATTCAGTCAGTATGCAAATAATGATCTAATCCTTCCTTTTCCACCAGTGGTCCAAAGGTTATATGACTAAATAGCTTAGGTCTGGGTTTATTTTTATTTAAAATATTGTTATTGTTAAAGTGAGGTATGGTAGCCTGTTTGGATACCTTTTAGATACTACAGGTAAGAAAATTTTGTCACATATATAGTCATATTCTTATGATGTGAAAGTGAGTGTTTTGGAGGCTAGTTTCAGGAATGATTAAATAGATAGAACCAAAGTAAGCAACTTTAGGCTGGAGGTATTTTTAATATTTTCAAAACTTTAGAAATGAATCTTTAAGAGCATGGTTAATGATGAAGCTAATAAAAAATAGCTTTTATTTGACTCATTTATATGTGTTAGGCATAGTATTAATCATTTTTATACTGTTTACATGAGAAAAATATTGTTATTCTCATTTTAAAACTGTGGTAACTGAGAAATAAGGCAGAAAAATAATCTGCTCAAGTTTATCCCACTAATAAGTAGTAGAAGCAGATTGAATTCCCAAGGACTGATGGCTGAAGATTGGTCACTGAAAGTCTCCATCTCTTCAGGGCTAGACAGGTTTATTGATTTGGATCTTTTTAGTACTTTAGCTTCTATCCCTATTCTTTGTTTGCTTCTCATTTCATTTAATGCCGTGAATGAAATCAAGAAGATATCTGAAGAAGTCCTTGAAAATCAATTGTAAAACATCCATTTATGTTTTAAGAACAGAAGAGATTTATTCTTATGTATACAAGATATGTAAGAAGTCCTAGCTATAGGGTGACGAAAGCACTTTCTTCCTCATACCATGACTGTTTTCTGTCCCACAGGTTCTGAATGCACAGAGAGCAGGATACAAAGCAGCCATAGTTCACAATGTTGATTCTGATGAGCTCATTGGCATGGGATCCAACGACAGTAAGTACAGGTATCACTTTTCTTCTCTCCTGTTTGACAGATTTTTTGGAACTAAAACTTAACAAGATTTTTCTTTTTTCGGGTTCTGTTTAAAAAGCATAATCTCTTTTAAAAAAGTGATTCCCAATTTTTAACCCCTGGGACAATTTTATTCAAAATAGAAATGGAATTGACTTGTTCTTTTCCGATTTTTTTTTAATCTATGTGCGTCATTTTAGGAAATATGTTGGTATTTTAAAGAGAGACAGACATGCTGAGTTAAAGATAACATCAAAGAATTTTTGTGACTTATTTAGAGATTGACAAGATTAAATTTTAGGATATGAGACTACTGTATTCTTGTGGAGTTTCAAAGCTACACATTTGTACTTTCTTAAATACCAGTTGGTTATTAGCCACTTAATATACATTGGAATTCCTATAGCTTTTCATTTAAAATGGGAATATTGTTCCTTTACTCATTACTAAATATTAGCATCTAAGGAGAATGAGCCAATTTTAATGAACTGGCTTTAATCAGAAAGTAACTTTTAAGTTGTGTGTTTCCACGTAATTTAGTGAGAGAGTTAAAAAAAAAAAAGATGTCTTTTGTTATGTTGATGAGCTGACTTGGAGAACCCATCTAAGGGTGAGGTCTGGTTGCTGGGAGAACCAGCCCTGTGATTTGAGAGTTGAAACTTTTCGTCCCACCCCTGTGATCTTCAGGGAGGAAAGAAGTGCTGGAGGTTGAATGGATCCAGAATGGCCAATGATTTGATCAATTATTTGATCTAATGAAGTCTCCTTAAAATAACAAAAGGATAGGTTTGGAAAGCTTTCAGATTGGTGAATGAGCTTGGTGAATGAGCAGGGGGTGCTGGGAGAATTGCTGCCTGGGTAGGGCATGGAAACTCTGTGTCCCTTCCCATTTACTTGCCCTGTATATCTCTGATGTCTGTTTCTGAGTTATATTCTTTTATAATAAACTGGTAATCTAGTAAGTAAAATATTTTTCTGAGTTTTGTGAGCTACTCTACTAGATTAACTGGACATAAGTGGGTAGGGGGATGGGACCTGAGTCTATAACTCGTCAGTCAGAAGCACACAAGACAATGTGGCTTGCAATTGGCTTCTGAAGGAGGGTTTCTAGTCTTGTGGGATGGGACTAAACCCTTAACCTGTGGAACCTGATACTATTTCTGGCTATATATCATCAAACTTGAGTTGAACTGAATTTTTCAATGCTGTGGGGGAGATACACACACACACACACAGGAAATTGGGTATGATTAGGTATTTTATTTTTGTTTTCCTTTTAGTACATAATAGTAATAACTCTTGCTACTAAGTTCCATTGAGTCATACATGGAAGAAAGAGCCCAGCACAAAGAGCAGACATAAAGCTATGGACTGATTTAGTACATTGGAATGTATTTAGGACTTTAAATAACTATATCTTCAATAGGCAATATTTTGGATTCCTAGACCAAAAAAACTTTTTATAACATAAGAAATTATTTTTTTTGTTGTTTGAGTAGAAATCTTTTCCGTCCTACTCCTAATATAACCTGAGGCAAACTTATAATATATTAAATCATTATTTTATTCTTCTATCTGGTTAAATTATCATAATTATAGGATGCATGAAGTACACTCTAGGGGTTCTAGGATTTCACAAAAGTTTAACAACCACTACTTGGGATTTAGAGGAACTGATGAAGGGATTTTACTTACCTCAGCCTTTGGGAAAGTACTTAACCTTCTTAAGTCCTTTATTTTCATCTGTAAAAATGTGAATAATTTTAATTCTTATTTGACTTGACAAGACTGTGAAGATCATAGAAGAGCAGGTATATGAGAAAACCTATGCTATAAAAGTGGGAAGAACCTGGGTTAGGAGTCAGAACCTCAAGCTGAGTCTTGGGCTGTGCAAATGCCTAACTATATAACTAGGGAAAGTTACCAGTATGTCTCGGGTTGTTTCCTCTCCTTATTTCATTGCTTTCTTTCTTCAGCAAGTATTTTTTGACAGTCTATACTGCATCGAGCAGTTTTAGGTACCATGAGTATAGCAGGGATTGATACAATTTAAGGCCTTACTTTCATACATTTCGTTGAAGTGGCAGTAGTTAAAGGTGTGGTTTTGTAATGGGGTGCAGAGCAGTGGTTCTCTGAAATATTCCCCACAAATCTGGACTAGGTGAGGGGGAAGTGGAAGATATAGTAGTTAAGATATTTTGCATTACAATGGCAAGTTAATAGCTCTGCTGCCACCCTGGGGAAAGGTGTACATGACTTTAAGTGGGTATCATGACTCATGACATAGCCTGGGGAGCTTTAGGCTGGGGAGCTTATACAGTGCCTGTGTGAGAGGCAGGATCTGGTTGCCCCTGTGTCACTGAGAACTCTTGCCCTGATTAAAGATGGCAGCCAAAAGAAGGTAAAAGATACAGGGGTACTGGCAAAAGTAGCATGTCATAGGAGGGATCGGATGTGAAGCCTGGGCATTTAAAATAAGGGTGGGCTGAGAGAAGGGGGAAGCAGTCACACAGTTTGAAAGGATGTAGAGAAGGGTTTTTTTCTGCCATGCGGCCTGGGGTAGAAGGAGGAAGGTGCCATGTAGTCTATAGTGATATAGCAGCCATGCAGGCTGGAGGAAAGGGTTTAAGGAGAGAGTGGATGGAGCTGTGTGAGGACCTGCCTAAACACATATGGATTAGTGGGAGGTGCTTGGAGCTGAACTGGGGCTATAGAGCTGCAGACTTCTGCTTCTATGAAAGATGTATAGAGAAGTCACTCTCTTGGGACATGTGCCTCCCTGGACTCCGCCATGATCCAGAATAACATGGCACATGTTTCCCTGAATCATTACATGGAGGCTGAGGACAATGTACACCACATCCTGAAGGAGAGAGCTGCTGCAAGAGGATGGTGACCCTGAAACCCACAAGAGCACCTTCCAGAGGGGTTGGAAACCTGCTTGTGCAGCCAGCTTAAGAACAGATAAGGATATGGGGAACTTCTGGACATGGTTTTGGCTTAGATCCTGGTGGGGAGCAAGGGAAGTGCTGGGTCTCATGGGACAGCAAGGTTTTGGGCAGGAGTACTCTCAGCACCCCCAAGGTTGGAATCTTGTAAATAAAAATCTGTTTCCTTCAACAGTAAGTGTTGGGTCATGCATCAAAGCACCACCTGGATGAGCCCTGGTTTGGTCGGTTACAGTTTCTGGGGACTGCCTGCCAGGGTTTGAATTCCAGCTCTGCCACTTACTAGCTGTGTGACCTTGGCTATGTTATGAAATATCTATGTGCTTCACTTTTTTGATCTGTAAAATGGGAATAATAATAATATTTAACTCATTTGGGTTATTGTGAGGATTGAATGAATTAAGCCATTTAAGCATTTAGAAGACTGCCTGGTTCTTAGTAACCAGTTAATGGTTATTTAGCTACTATTATTATTGCTGCTGTTACTATTATTATTATGTTCTAGGGTGGGAGAGAGGAAGTGAATACAAAGAGGTATGATATATGTCAAGTAGTGACAGGTGCTATGAAGAAAAATATATTTGGCTAAAGGGATACAAAGGTACAGGGATGAGAGAACGGTGCCTATTTTAGATTGGGTGGCCAGAGAAGACTTCTTTGTGTGAGGCTTTGACATTTAAGCATAGTCCTAAAGTGAGAGGCTGAGACATGAAGATTTCTGGAGGAGGAGTTTTCCAAGGAAAGGGAACAGCAAACAGATACAAAGGCTCAAAGATAAAGCATACTTGGTGTTTGTACAGAGAGAGTGGTAGGGGGTGAGGTTAGAAAGGGCATCAGGGGCCTGATCATATCCAGGTCTGTAGGATTTTGCAGCTTATTCTGCATGGGTTTTACCATATTTTGCTGTGTATAATGCACACGCACACTTTTTAGCACTGTCCATGTATAATGTGCATCCTTATTTTTCTCTCAAAAATTTGGGCAAAAGTGCACATTATATGTGGTAAAATACAGTGTACAGAAGTGTGAGGTGATCTGACATATGGAGGTATTTTTAAATGCTCACTTTGGCTGTGATTCTTTTTAAGAATAGACTGAAGGTAAAAGATGGCCAAGAGTGCCAACAGAGATGAGTTAGAACGTTGCTGCAGCAGCTAGGCAGGAGGTGATGGTGATTTGAAGTGTTAGCAATGATTGTGGTGAGAAGTGGTAGAATTAAGGACCTTTTTTGAGTTGATAGAATTTGTTATAAGAAATAGAGGGAGGAATCAAGGATGACTCCAAGATGTTTGCCCTGAGAAACTAGGTGAATGGTTAATTACAGAGATGAGAAAGACTAGGAATTAGAGCAGAGACCTTGAGAGTCCCATTGGAGAAACATTACATTTGAAACATGTGTTAGGCAGTCAAGTGGAAATATTAAACAGGCAACTGGATATATGAATCTGGAGAGGTTGGGGCTGGCCATTTAAGTTATGATTTGTCTGTGTTATCACGTTAACACTGTTTGGCAGTACATACTTCACAGAATTGTTTTGTGCATCAGAATTAAAATTTAATATTTTTTCAAATATTTTGTGAAGTAGCTATTCATATTTGCATACATCATTGCCCCCCTTCTTCTTTATCTTTTGACTAAAATGAGGAGCTTATTACATCTCTTTAAGTATCATAAATCAAAGAAATTATCTTACTTCTGGTAATTATAACCCAAAAGTTTCTCCTTCAGTTTATCAGAGTATCTTCATGAAAGGGTAGAACACTCATTTTATCAAAGGGAGTGTAATTCCCAGTTTTAATTATTAAATCAATTAAATTGTAAACTATGTGATAAAGATCTCCTAGCAAGACAGAAAATATCCCCCTAAAGTGTATGTGATTATAGCAGTGTCTCTGCAGCGATGAAGATGATGAGGTGGGTCTTTATTGAGGTGGCAGAATCTCTGATGTGTATCATTGAGTGGAACAAAAGCTTATATTTTTTTCCATTAGTATATGACATCATTGATATAAAAAATAAAATTTTTATTTATCCTATTGATATAAAAATAGTGATTAAATATTTCTCTGCTAACCATTTTGCTTCCTGCCCTCCTGGGGTTTAGATGATGTGTGTTTGTGTGTGTGTGAAAGAGAGGGAGAGAATGAGAGTATGAGTAGGAATGAGTGATTATATTTGCATAAAACAAACCAATCTGGAAGTGAAAAAAATGTATTCTACCAAGGGATACCAAGATTTTAAAACATTAAAACTTGTCTTTATAAGGATTAAAGAAAAGCACATTAATGGTTGCTAAGGTTGGGGCAGGAGGGACTTATTTTGAGGGATGATAGACCATTTTATGTCTTGATTATGATGGTGGTTAGATAATGACAAAGGTTTATTCAAATAAAACCTCTGTCTTTGGGTGGAAAGGATTATGGCTATGTTCTGTTTGTAATTTTTTACTTGTATCCTCTACCCTTTTAAAAATTAATAATGAATATGCATTTTTAAAGAAATGTAGAACAAAGTTATTGTGAAAATATAACAAGGAAACAAATGAGCTTTCTCTAAAGTCTATTCAGTTACTCAAATCTATTCAATTAATTCACAGCTGAAAATATAGTTGCTTTTTCTGTAGTAATATTGAGGATTGTTTTTATTTCTTTTCCTGAGAAATGGCTAATTTTTACAAAGTTTTCTTTTTTGGCATTTGACTTTGGTTTTGTAATATGGTTATGAGTCAAATTTCTTAAGACACCAGTCAAAACACAAAACTTTACCAGGAACTCCAGGGTTAGGAGGAAGTAGAAATTTACTTAGCTCTCCTGTCCTATTTCAATTCTTATCAGCCATTTCACTCTGGAAAGCCGTCCATGTGTGGTGTCATTTTTCAGACTGTTGTGAAGTGGTCTTTTTTAACATTCTTAGGCTTGTACCTCTCCTGGGAATGGGTATATTAAAAAAAAAAAAGCTTTTCCACTTTCTCATTTAGGAATTAAGTGTGGAAAGGAAACTTAAAATTTCTCTTCTTCTTTTTCTAATAGTTAATTATGTCTATTAAGGATAAATCCAATGGAAATATTAAAAATAATTATATCCCAATCTCATAGAACTGTTGAACTAGCATGATAATGTATATATGCAAAATGTTAGCTAAAACTAATTTTATTATTGTTTTATATAGTTGGTCTGTTAAAGAAAATTGACATACCATCTGTCTTTATTGGAGAATCATCAGCTAATTCCCTGAAGGATGAATTCACATATGAAAGAGGGTAAGTAATGGATATAAAAAATAATGATGTAGAGTAAAAATTTTTTGTATTAGGGTAAAATGAGATAATATTAGTTGCAATTAAAGTTATATTTGAGAATATTCTGTTTTACTACATTATTTATTTATATTTATTTATATATTTATTTATATTTAGAAACAAAACCAATTTTCATATTCCAGGATATTTTGCATATGAATATCATTATTGCTTTCTAGAATTATACTTTTAATGCATAAGCATAAATAAAAGAATTAAAAACATTTATATAGATACAGAATTAGTACTACCCATATATAGTACTGCCCATGTATTATTTTTCCTTAAAAGATTTGGGCAAAAAAGTGCACATAATACACGGCAAAATACGGTATACCTTTTTTAAAAAAGTAAATATTAATTCAATTTCAAAACACTGAGTCTTCAGATTTTTCCAACTCTTTGAAATCCTTTTTTAAAAAATATTTTTAATACTCTAAATAATGTCTATATACTGCATTGGTCTTATGCCTTAATTTTTTTTTTAATTTGTCCTGTGTATTTTACTACAGTCTGGACTTTCCTGATTGAATCCTTGGATATTATCTAGAATATTCCTTTGTTACTTATTTTTCCTATAAACTGCTCAGTAGATGTTGAGGTTTGTTCCAATTAGAGTTACTGAGGGGCTAGAAAAATAGGGAAGGCAAGAATACTTTATATATGGTATTATATGTTTCCACCAGAAACAATATTTAGATCTATCTTTGTAATGCAAGTAATTTAATTTTATAATTCCTCCTTCATTTATTAGTTAAAATCCTTTTCTAAAGGTGACTTGCACTTATTATTTGATTACTTTCATGTATAATGTCTTTAGGAAAGACAGGATAAACACTTGATTCTTTCCCTTTACTGCTTTTTAAAATGACTTGGTTTGCTAGCATCTTCCAAAGACGATTTAATATATAGATTTAAAGTATTATTGCAAACTCATGAGTTAAAACCTATTTCATATGCTCCAGTCCATTGTAATTTTTATCTTTATTGATGTTCACATTGTCCTATTTTGGACTTCAGGTTTAATCCTGTTTTTTGTTTTTTTTTTTGACAGGAATTTAGGAGCTTTTGTTTGTTCCTTCTTTTTGATACAGGACAAGATGTTCCAGGCCTATTCTTTTCCTTCCCCTAACCTAGAATCAGTCATATCTTCAAGTTCTGGTTCCTTTTATTGATTTTGGTATTTAGAGATCAGGGGTAATCATTGCTTGTGGATTTGTCACTATTTCTAGGGCTTTTCAGTGCACAGAGCTAAGAAATATATAGGCTTTTAAAGATACAATAAATCGTAAGTGTGTACTGTTACTTACAATTTAAATTTGGGGCTATAGGATTTTTACTTTGTTGATCTCACATCTGTATTTTACTTTTCTGTGCTCGAAGACACCAATATAATTATTTTTTTCTTTTTAAATTACATAATACACACAAAATAGACTCAGCAGAACAATACTAACACTACTACGAACATCTGTAAAAAACAGTTCTTGCCCTGGCCAGGTGCTGGGTTGGTTGGAGCACTGCCCTGTCCACCAAAAGTTTGTGGGTTCAATTCCCAGTCAGGGCACATACCTGGGTTTGCTGGTACATTCCCTGCTTGGGGTGCATATAGAAAGCCACCAATCAATGTTTCTTTCTCTCTCTCTCTCTGGTCTGTCTCTCTAAGATTAATGAACATGTGCCACAGTGAGGATTAAAAAAAACAAAACAGTTCTTTCTTTGCTTAAGGTATATCACAAGGATATAAAGTCAAATTATATTTTAAAGACATGAAATAATTGTTGTGTGTGCTGATGCTGTCAACTGGAAACACAACTGTAGTTGATATATTTTACTTTTAGGGATTGTGTTTCTATCTGCACTATGATTTTAATAATTCTATATAAATTTAAAATCATAACCAGCAAGACAGGGTTTATCCAGTGACGTCCAGCTTACATGTGTTATTCACCTTGTCCCTCCTGTTGTACCCTTACCTTAAAGTAATAATTTTTTAAAGTTTTTAGTTTATTCTTTAATTATTTTTTAAATGTAAAGATACCTATCTCTTCTCTATCTTCCATTCTCAATAAAGTAATAATTTTTTAAAGTTTTTAGTTTATTCTTTAATTATTTTTTTAAATGTAAAGATACCTATCTCTTCTCTATCTTCCATTCTCAATACATTAACACTGTTTCCTATCTTGTTTTTCTTCAATTAACAGTATGGCCTGGAGATCACACCATATGAAAAGACAGATTTTTCATTTCTTTATAAAAGATGCATAGAACTCCATTAGTTGCTAGTCTCCTGTTGATGAACACTGGAGTTATTTACAGCCTTTTGCTGTTAAGTAGTGCTCTAGTAAATAATCTTATGTAGAAGCCTTTTCATGTTTTTGCTAGTTTATCTTTGGAAAAGATTTCTAGAAGTACAAATGCTAGGTCAGAGGTTGCTAGATATTGGCAAACTCTCATCCATAGGGTTATGCCAGCAGTATATGACAGTGTCTCTTTTCCCAAAGAGTCATCAACAAATTATGTTGTCAGATTTTTAGATTTACCCTAATCAGGTAAGAAAGAGTTCTGTTGGTAGCTTTAATGTGTGTTTCTTTTAACAATTGTGGGCAAAGGAAAGAATTGTTTTTGATAGTAGTGAGTAGCAAGGTGAACTGGAGATATTCCTGGGGTATGGCCTTTACGGGGTCATTTAATCCTCATGGACATAGAATCCTGTTTCTTTCAACTCGGAGATTTCCATATTCTCTCCCATGTGTAGGGACTCCATTTTTTCATTATTTGTCCCTAGGATCAGGCACGATGACAGCATAGTCAGTAAATGCTGGTGAAATTTAATTGCTATTGTACAACCTGAGTATTCTTCAACAAAGAGCACTGTGCTGGCAACAGAACAGGTTGTGCCACAGATGGTGACCCAGAACTGAGATATGGGCCTGTGTAGTGTGGAATGTGGGATGTTTGGTGAGGCAGTTGTGAGCTTTGTCTGAAAGGGGCAAGTTCAGGGCAGTAGTCATCCGAAAGAGTGAACGTGTCCCACTGCTGGGCTGATCACAGGTCATTGCCTGGAAAGTTGGTTTATAAGAAGACTTTGGTGTGTAGTTGTTGCTTTACAAGAAGAAAGGCTTTGATGTGTAGTTGTATATCCATTGGGGCTCAGTAGTGTAGAGATAGCTCTTTGATCCAAGATGATGGGGGTTGGTATGAAAACAGACGGCAGGACAAATATCTCATGTATCAGCATAGGGATTGGGAAATTAGAGTAATTGTAACAAAGTTTAGGCTGAGACACCTGGTTTGAAATTAGTCTGGAAACTCATGAAAAGTAGAATAAGACACTATTTCCTGGGTTGCTTAGGACTCTGCTTCAATGATCACATCTTAACTGCAGAGCTCATGGAGAGTATTATATGTAGGGCTTCACATGGAGGTTGTGTGTAAGATACTAAGTTGTTTAAATATCTCCTTTTTCAAATACAAATTGATCTAGTATGACCTGGACGGGGATGAATCTGTAGGCTCAGCTGTGGGAACCTGCACAGACAGAGGAAATAGAAGTAAAGCTAGACTGCTTTCCAGAGCACGAGCACCAGCCATCTATGAGGGTTTGGATTTCTCCTTCCAAAGGACTTTAATAAGCAATTGTGTAGCCCTAGAAAAACCTGATGGTATTTTCATTGAAATTACATCATACTTAAAAACTTATTTAGGGAGAATTGACATTTATAGGATGTTAAATCTACTTATCCAAGAACATGGTATGTCCTTTTATTTGTTCAACCAATGAGGCTAGCTCAGTTGGTTAGAGTGTCGTCCCCATACACCAAGGTTGTGGATTCAGTCCCTGGTCAGGGCACATATAGGAATCAACCAATGAATACACAAATGAGTAGAACAACAAATCCATGTTTCTCTCCGCACTCCTCCTCCCCCTTCTCTCTCTCCTTCTTCCTCTCTCTCTAAAATCAGTAAATGTATCTTTGGGCAAGGATTTTAAAAAAGTCACTTTGAAATGGAAATAATTTGCTTTCATGGTATTTTTCCTAAGTACTATGGTGTCCTAAACATCTCTGTATCAGGGGAGGAGTCAACCTATTTTTATTTTCTTTTATAAAATTGAGAAGTTTTGTATGAAGTACCTGGCTTCACTGCCTAAATTAATCACTGAGCCATGGATAACAGAGTAGCATTGCTGACACTATATTAGTTGAGTAGCACAGAAGTACAATGGAGAAATCGGTCATGTTACTGACCAGTATACAGACCCTTTCCTAGACTGAGGATATTTTCTAATGCAGGGTTTTGCTGCCATGTAATATTTGCTCACATAACACAAATAGTGTGGCTACTCTGATCACAGTTTAATTTCATGAGTCCTTTTCAGTTTTTATAACAGTAATATTACAGTATCTAATAACACATTAGTAACAAAGGGGAATAAGGCATGTAGCATTCTCCACCTCTCCCCTGACAAAATACATATTTTTGTAGTTTTTTTCCCCCCAGGGAAGCAGTGAAGATGGAGAATAGAGAGGAAGCTACAACTCCTGTGAATTCCTTTACCAGTTTCCCATTCTATGTCTCACAGATAATGTAGAGTACAGGGGCTGTGTCCATTGTCTCTGGTAAAACAAGTTTATGAAAGCATATAGGGAGGAAGGAGCATACTTTCATCATTGGTGGCTTCAGAGTTTTTTCAGAGGGGAAACTGATGAACAATAATTGGGTTGAGGTGGGGTTGTTATTGACATACTACTTAAGGTATTGCCATTATTTTAATGTTGATTTTGCCTATAAAATATGCATACTTTTGTCCAGGTTACTAAATTCAGTAAATAATGTATTTCCAGGATAGACACAGTAAGTATTGATTAGCTGATTCCACTACCCAGTCTAAAAGCTTTTTTGAATTATATGGACAAGTAATTTTGGCAAATATGTAAAATAGACTTAAAAATGGAAAAATCATCCCTTAAGTTATTGGAAATTATATATTAGAAAATGTGATGTGTCTAGTGGATTGAATTGTAATGTCTAAATGCTTTTTAAAAATATATTTGATTTGGATTAGCATCATAATTTGGCAACTCAATATTTCTCATTTATTCTTGTTTTCTTCCAGGGGCCACATTATCTTAGTTCCAGAATTTAGTCTTCCTCTGGAATACTACCTGATTCCCTTCCTTATCATAGTGGGCATTTGTCTCATCTTGATAGTCATTTTTATGGTAGGTAAACTGATTTTAAATACTTTTAAAAAATAGTATAAATGGCTCTAAAAAACATTGTATTAAGAGAAGAATTACATTAAGTCTTTTTATATGAGTCCATTTATGTAACAGTTTCTGGAAAAGGCAAAGATAATCTGGGTAGAAAAAACTAGAACAGTGATTGCTTCTGGGGGGCTAGGGCGGGGTGAGGATTTACTGGAATGGGTCTGAAGGAACTGTCTGGAGTGTGAATCATGTTCTTTATCTTGAGAGATTTGGGCAGTTCTGTTGCCTGAATCTCCAAATTGTATACTTAAAGTTTTGTGCATTTCATGGTATGTAAATTTTACTTAAAAAGAAAAGAGAATCTTTAAAAATTACTAAATTCTAAGTAGTGATATACATGCTGAAGTATTTTAAGGAAAGTATACTGATACTTGAAACTTTGGAAGAAATGAGAAAAAGAAATTGATTGATGGATCCATAGAGGGATGGATAGATATGTGATAAAAAGAAGCAGAGTAAAATGTTAATTATAGAATCTAAGTAGTGTCTATATGGTTATTTATTATAAAAATTCTTTCACCTCTTCTCTGTATATGAAAATTTTCGTATCAAAATGTAGATAAAAAAATAGCCTGAGGGCTTAATGTTAAGAGGAATGGCACATTTTTTCTCCAGAACAGTGCTGACCAAAATTTGGTTCCAGGACTCTTAGTGGGTCTGCAGGGTCAAAATTATTTCATAATAATGCTAAGGTATTATTTTCCTATACCACTGTCATTCAGGGTTTAGAGTGAAGGTTTCTAGAGGCTATATGGTATGTGGTATGAAAACAAATTGAAGACAAAAGCAGATTATGAGAATCCCTCTGTATTCTATAAAGATAAATATTTAAAGAAATTTGTAAAGATATAAAACAGTCCCACTGTTCTTCAACCTCTAATGAGTTTATTATATTGAGTTTATAAATTAATTTAAAAATTAAATGGCATCTTTGAAATGTATAGTCTTTCTATGATGCTTTGGTATTCCTTTTCATTTATTTATGTATTTTGTTAGACTTTTTTGAAATTGCATTTTCTAATTGGTTATTACTTGGTTATAAGAACATTATTGATTTTTAAAAAAGATTTTATTTATTTATTTTTAGAGAGAAGGGAAGGGAAAAAGAAAGAGAGGGAGAGAAACATCAATGTGTGGTTGCCTCTGGTGTGCCCCATATCAGGGACCTGGTCCACAACCCAGGCATGTGCCCTGACTGGGAATCAAACTGGCGACCCTTTGGTTCTCAGACTGATACTCAATCCACTGAGCCACACCAGCCAGGACAGATTTTTATTCAATAATTTTGGAATAAGTTTTTCTATTCAGTAATTTTGAAATAGCATTAAGATTTATAGAAAAATTACAAAAGAGAGTTTCTGTACATTTGTCATCTAGGTTACCCATTGGTAACATTTTACATTATCATAGTACACTTGACAAAACTAAGAAACTGAGATTGGTATATTACCAGTAGTTCAAACCCAGACTGTATGGATTTCACTAATTTTTCCATCAATCTATCCAATCTAGAGTACCCCACTGTATTTAGTTATCACATCTTCCCAGTCTCCTCTGGTCTATGACAGTTTCTCAGTCTGTCCTTATTTTTCATGACCTAGGCAGTCTTAAAAAGCGTTGGCCAGTTATCCTATACAATGTCCCTCAATCTGGTGTTTTTCTTATGATTAGACTGGATTATGGGTTTTTAAAAAGAATATCAGAGGTGAAATGCCCTTTTCATCATACCGTATCGGGGGTATGTGACCTCTGCGTAACATCACTGATGTTAACCTTTCTCCCTTGATTAAGGTAGTGTTTGCCAAGTTTCTCCATTAGAAAGTTATTATTTTTCCTTTCTCTATTCTATTCTTACTTTTGAAATGAGGCAGTAAGTGTAGCCCACCCTGAAGATGGAGAGGGGCAGGAATTAGTCTTCACTTCCTGGGGGGTAACAGGGAGTATCCACATACATTATTTAGAATTATTTTGAAAGGAAGATTTGTCTCTTTTTGGTATTTATTTATTTATTCACTCATTTATTTACATTAATATGTATTCATGTATGTTTATTTTACACTTGAGTAAAATACTACATTATTTTTCTTGTTTAAATTATTTGAGTGTTGGCCATTGGGAGCTGCGTTAGGCTTGCTTCTGTATCCCTTTGATTTGGCCCATAATTTTTTTTTTTAAGATTTTATTTATTTTTAGAGAGGGAAGGGAGGGAGATAGAGAGAGAGAGAGAGAGAGCAACATCAATGTGGAAACATCAATGTGCTGTTGCTGGGGGCCATGGCCTGCAACCCACGCATGTACCCTAATTGGGAATCGAACCTGCGACACTTTGGTTCGCAGCCCGTGCTCAATCCACTGAGCTACCCTAGCCAGGGCTTTTTTTTTTTTTAGTATTTCTTCACAGTCTGGTACTATAAGAAGGTTCAGGCTCACCTTACATTTTTCTTGGCTCAGCCCTAGAATCAGACATTTCTCCAAAAACCCCTGGTTCCTTTTATTGAATAGTTTTTATTTAGAAATGGTGATTCAACAATGGCCATTATTGATTTGATTTTTATATAATAATTTCATATCTATAATTTTGCTGGATTCTCCTATTCTGATTATTTGGATTTGTTGATTCTTTTGGGTTTTTAGTGTAGAAACAAGGAAGTGTAGAAAGTTAGAACAACAAACAAATAAAAAATACTCTTGGCAAATGCGGAATAGAAATAAATAACCTTTAAGCTAATAAAGATTATTGACTAAAAACTTTAAATGAGTATCATTAAATGGTGAATTATTAGAAGCCTTCCCTTGGAAGTTGAGAACAAAAAAAGGATGCTTATTGTTGGGACTTCTATTAGTATTATGTTATATTTTCTGGTAAAACATGAAAAAACAGTATAAGGATTAGAAATAAAAGAAACCAAATTTTTATTTCCTTTTAAAAGTCATGAATGGATACTGAATTATGTCCTCTATCTCTTGTAATGATCATTGATTTTCTACCTTTATTAAATTGGATTGCACTAATTTGTTATATAAATTTTCAAAATCCTTGTATTTGGGATTTTAAAATCCTTGTATTGGGGATAAACTACTTGATTATGATGTATAAATTTTGTATTTGCATTTTGGGTTATTCAGATTTTTAGTATGGGTCAGTCAGTTTTACACTTGGGCATAGATGTAACTAATCCTAAGTAAAGTACTGGCCATCTGAATTTCTAGGTAAGGGAAAGTTTTAGTTTTATGGAGCTAGAATAATCTAGATATCAGAACTGAAAAATCCCTTGAGTACTGTTGGTAGGAATGTTAAGTGGAACAGTCACTATGGCAGTTCTTCAAAAATTTAAACATAAATTACCATACTCTCTGGCAATTCCACTTCTGGGCATATACCCAAAAGAATTGAAAGTGGGAGTTGAAACTATGTTCATAGCAGCACTATTTGCAATAGCCAAAGGTGAAAGCAACTCAGTTGTTCATTGACAGATGAATAAACAAAATGTGATATATACTTAGAATGGAATATTATTCAACCTTAAAAAGGAAGGAAATTCGGACACATGCTACAGCATGGATGAGCCTAGAGGACATTATGCAAGGTGAATAAACCAACCACAAGAAGACAAATGTTGTATGATTCTATTTATATGTGGTACCTAGAATAGTCAGATTCAGAGACTGAAAGTGGAATGGTAGTTGCTGGGGGATGTAGGAAGGGGAGAATGGGGAATTATTGTTTAATGGGTACAGAATTTCAGTTTTGCAAGATGAAAATAATTTTATGGATGGATAGTGGTGATGGTAGCATAGTTTGAGTGTACTTAATGCCACAGAACTGTACACTTAAGAATGGATAAGAGTAAATTTTATGTATATTTCCCAATGTTTTAAATAACATAAATGTAACTAGACACAATAAAACTAGTTCAAAAATTTAAAGCTTTGTCTTATTTTCCATTTCTAAAATATTTTTTCTGAAATTGGAATCATCTGTGACTTGCCTTTTGGCCTATAAAATCATCTAGGTCTACTGCACATTTTCATGGTTACAAGACATTCAGATGGTTGTCTACTTCTTTATACTAATACTGCCTTATACTTTATACTTCTTTATTATATTTCTAGGAAATTATTTTGTCTGTTATCAAATCAGTGGCAAAAAGTGATGCATAATATTTATGTACTCATATAGCAACTTCAAAAGAATTTCTACTGTATGTGGACTGAGTTCTCTTCATATCCATCTGTGTCTTGCATAGTGTTGCCAGTTTATTTGTTTTGCCTTTCAAAGAAGTAGACATTGAGGGGTTTTTCTTTTCATTCAGCAAACATTTATTTTGCACCTAGAATGAATTAGGCACTACTCTAGGGTCTGAAGACTCATCATTGAACAGATAGGTAAAACTCTGTGATATCAAGCAACATACATTCCCATGGAACTTATATTCTAAAGTCTTTCCTTTTTATTTATCTTATGAATGAATATCTGCTCTTATCATCATTATTTATTTTCTTCTATTTTGTATGGATATATTAATTTTCTTTTCCTAGCTTTATGCTTTTAAATTTTAAAAGCTTTATGCTTTTAAAGCTTTTATGCTTTATTTAAAGCATAAATAAATGCTTTATGCTTTTATTTATGTTTTAACAGTCTTTTTAACAGTCACATTAGCTATAACTCATAAATTTTGATAAGGAATATTTTTATTTTAATGGTTTGTTAAAAATTTTTTCCTTGTTTTACATACATTTCTTTATGACTCTGATGTCTCCATCTATGCGAAGGGGGAACTCAAGTACTATAACTCCTAGCCCTTCTCTACCCTTTCACTCATTTGGTCGTAGGGAAGATGAAGTATCTTATCTGTGTGGTACATTTGGGAGGAATAAATTAGGGTATACTTGATTCACCTCTGCCTTTCTCTTGGGACCAACCTGTTTTCATCTCCTCCAGAACTGGGAATACAATTCTAGGGGAGGATAAAGGGAAAGCCTTTTCCATTCCAGAGTTGTCTTTGTGTACATTTGGGTGGGCAAGGACTTCTAATTCTGTGGTTCAGTAAAAAGTTCTGTCTCTTTCTCCACTGAATTAGGTACTCCACTTGTCTCCATCTGCCAGTTCATCATCTTATTTCTCAAGCTGTTTAGAATACAATAGGTGAAGAGGCATGCTGATTATCAGAGCCCCTCAGAAACTCAAATATCCATTGTGATTTCTTCTGTGACTTATAAATTATTGTAACTGTTCAAAACACATATTTTTCCCATATCTTTTTTCCCCATTGACTTCTAATTCAATTGCGTTGTGGTCATGAAACATCATATGTTATGGATTATTTGGTTATTTCCAAAGACTTGCTTTTGGTTATCTCTTATAAACATTCCCCATGTATGTAAAAAGAATTAGGTTGTGCAGAGTTCCATATGTGTACTTTTGTTTGAGCTTGTGCGTTTGTTTTGTCTAGTCTTTTTTTCACTATGTTTAAAACAGTTTTTTTAAATATAGAGTGGGACAAAAGTAGGTTTATAGTTGTGAGTATGTGAAACACAACAGTTCATTCTTGTATTAATTATTAATTACTGTATTTTCCATATGAACAACTTGTAGTCCTACTTTTGCCCCACCCTGTATATATATTAGCTCTGATTTTATTGATGTATGATTAAGATATAATTAACCTCACATATTTAAATTATATAATTTGGCAAGTTTTTAACATATGTATATTTGTGAAGCCACCACCAGAATCAAGATAATGAAATACTGATCAGCTCAAAAAGTTTCTCATGCTCCTTGGTAATCCCTCCCTCTAACCCCTTCCAATTTTTCCTTAATATCCCACTCATCCCCAACCCTAGGCAACCACAGATCTGCTTTTTTGGTCAGTGTAGATTTTCTACAACTTTGTATACATGGAATCATAAATTACGTACTCTTATGTATGTGCCTTTTTTCTCTCAGAGTAATTATTATGAAATTCATAAATATTATTAAATACATTGATTATTAATTTCTTTTTATAGCTGAGTTATATTCCATTGTACAGACATACCACTGTTTTGTTTACCTGTTTACCTATTGATGGACATTTGGTTGTTTATTATTTTTGGCTCTTACAAATAAAGCTGACATGGACTTTGGACATGCACTTTTGTACACAAGTTGTTGTATGGTACATGCCTTTATTTCTATTGGGTAAATATAAGTAGGAGTGGGACGATTGAGTCATATGGTAAATATGTGTTTAAATTTGTAAGAGACCACCAGACTGGTTTTCAACATGGTGGCACCATTTTACAGTCCTGCCGTTAGTGTACCAGAGTGCCACTTTCTCTGCTTTCTTGGCAATTCTTGGTATAGTCAGTCTTTCTAATTTTAGTCATTCTAATAGGTGTATGGTGGTAGTTGTGATTTTAATTTTTGTTTCCTCTTGACTAATTTGTTGAGCATCTTTTTAAGTGGTTAGTTGTCATCCTTATATTCAAATATTTTGCCCATTTTTTTTCTATCGGGTTGCTTCTTTTCTTAGTGAGTTTTGAGTTATTTTTGTATTCTGGATACAAATCCCTTGTCAGATATGCAGTTTGCAGATATTTTTTCCCAGTGTATGACTTCTCTTTTATCTTTTAACTGTGTCATTTAAGGACAGAAGTACTTAACATTGATGTAATTAAATTTGTCCAATTTTCTTTGATAGATGTTGCTTTGGCATTTGGTTCTAGCCCCATGGACTTCCTTTTTATTCTTGCAAACATAGTAATTTATAGTTAAAAATCTTTTTTATGTTATCTAGCATTTCTGAATATTTGTAGTAGAGATATATATTATATATCTATATAGATAGATAGATAGATAGATAGATATGTTTGAAAATTCTTTAGTTTTTTTTATTTTCATTTTTTGTACTGTGATTCCTAAGCAAATTTTTAAAAATATATTGTTATTGTATTTTTTCATTATCATTTATCCCCCTTATACCTCTTCCCCATACAATCACCACACTGTTGTCTGTGTCCATGAGTTCTTTTTCATTTTTGCTTGATCCCTTCACCCCAACTCCCTCTCCAGAGCTATCTGCCTGTTCTCTCTATGAGCCTGTCTCTATTTTGCTTGTTAATTCAGTTTGTTCATTAGATTCCACATATGAGTGAAATCATATGGTATTTGTCTTTCTCTGACTAGCTTCTTTCACTTAACATAATGTTCCCCAGGTCCATCAGTGCTATCGTAAAGGGTAACATTTTCTTCTTTTTTACAACTGAGTAGTATTTCATTGTGTAAATGTCCCGCAGTTTCTTTTCATCCATTCATCTATTGATGGTCATTTGGGCTGCTTCCAAATCTTGGCTGTTATAAATAATACACAATAAACATAGGGTGCTTATGTTCCTTCAAATTAGTGTTTTGGGCTTCTTTGGATAAATTCTCAGCAGTGGAATTGCTGAGACATTAGGCAATTCCATTTTAAATTTTTTGAGGTAACTCCATACTACAGTGCAGGAGGATTCCCCTTTCTCCACATCTTCGCCAAATTTTTTAGGTTATAAATTACAGGAATTTCACTCTCCCTTTTTTCATCTTCTTTGTAACCTATAATTTAGTATTTGTGTTTTTTTCAAACAAACATATGTTATTTATAATGTTTCTGTCAGACTAAATTAAAGATAATTTAGATCAATGAGTAAAAATTCAAAGGGTAATTTAATAGGGTAATTAATGACTAATGTAGTTTAATGTTTTAATTAATATTGCCATTAGGATTAAAAGAAATTAAATTCATTTTCAGCAGCTATCCAGAAACTTACAAGATATTTGATGGCCATTTGTACATGCATGTTAATATATGATTCCTTTTTTTTCTTTTATTTTTAGATCACAAAATTTGTCCAGGACAGACATAGAGCTAGAAGAAATAGACTTCGTAAAGATCAACTAAAGAAACTCCCTATACATAAATTCAAAAAAGGTAAGTGAATATTTTTATTTTCTAAATAATTACCCTTAGTTTATTTAAGAATAAATACATGGTGATAGATGGGAGAGTTGCTTCAATAAAGTCTTTGAAAAGGAAAGAAGGGTTAGGATCTGTTGCACAAATAGGTGGGTTGGCCTCAGATAGAGAGGTGGGTGCAAAATCCTGGTAGATGGATATTAATGGTGGCGAGTCTGTAGAAGTGTTCTTTACTTCCTTATCACACTATTTCAGTTACTATAGGTTTCGATAAGTCTTTTTTTTTTAAGATTTTATTTATTTTTAAGGAGAGAGAGGGAGGGAGAAAGAGAGGGAGAGAAACTTGTGCAAGAGAAACACCAATTGGTTGCCTCTCACACACCCCCAACTGGGGACCTGGCCCATAACCCAGGCAAGTGCCTTGACCGGGAATTGAACCTGCGATCTTCTGGTTCGCAGGCCTGTGCTCAATTTACTGAGCCACACCAGCCAGGGTAGGTTTAGGTAAGTCTTGATATCTGTTAAGAGTTGGTCTTCTCACCTTGTTTTTCAATAGTTTTTAGCTATTACTGACACTTCAAATTTCCATGTAAATTTTAAAATTAATTTGTCAAGGCCACCCCACCTCTAAACATACATAATAATCTTGTATATTTTGTAGTAAAATATACATAACATAAAATTGACCATTTTAACCTTTTTTAAGTGTTACGTTCAATGACATTAAGGACATTCACATTATTATGCAATTGTCACCACTGTCAATCTCCAGAACTGAAACACTCTACCTAATAAACAATAACTGCCCATTTCCCCTCTCCCACCAGTCCATGGCAGCTGCCATTCTACTTTCTGTCTCTGAATTGGACTATTCTAGGTACCTGGTATAAGTGGAATATGTGACTAGCTTTTTTCACTTAACATAATGTCCACAGGATTCATCTATGTTCTAGTGTATGTCAGATTTCATTCTGCTTTAAGGCTGAATAATATTCATAATATTCTATGTACATGCCACATACTGTTTATCCACCCATCTGTTAATGGAGACTTGGGTTGCTTTCACCTTTTGGCTATTGTGAATAATGCTGCTGTGAACATGAGTGCACACATGTCTGTTTGAATCTCTGTTTTCACTTCTTTGGGTATTTACACAGAAGTGGAACTGCTGGATCATAGTGTAATTCTCTGTTTTAATTTTGAGGAATGGCATACCACTTTCCATAGTTAGCTGTGTTACTTAACATTTCTGTCAGTAGTGACCTAGAGTCCCAGTTTCTCTTTATCCTCAACAACATTTGTCATTGTCTTTTCTTTGCCTTCCTATCTTCCTTCCCTCCTTCCTTTTCTCTCTTTCTTCCCTCCTTCCTTTCTCCCTTTCTTCCCTCCTTCCTTTCTCTCTTTCTTCCCTCCTTCCTTTCTCTCTTTCTTTCTGTCTTTCTTTCTTTTTCTCTTTCTTTCCTTTCTTTTTCTCTTTCTCTTCCTTTCTCTTCCTTTCTCTTCCTTTCCTTTCTCTTCCTTTCCTTTCTCTTCCTTTCTCTTTCTTTCCTTTCTCTTCCTTTCCTTTCCTTTCCTTTCCTTTCCTTTCCTTTCCTTTCCTTTCCTTTCCTTTCCTTTCCTTTCCTTTCCTTTCCTTTCCTTTCCTTTCCTTTCCTTTCCTCCTCCCTTCCCTCTTTCCTTCCTCCCTGCCTCCCTCCTTCCCTGCCTCCCTCCCTCCCTCCCTATGGATGGGTTATAAATAACCCTAATGGATGGGGTGTGGTATCTCATTGTGGTTTTGATTTGCATTTCCCTCATGAGTAGTGATTTTGAGCATCTTTGCAGGTGCTTATTGCCCATTTGTCTCTCTTCTTTGGAGAAATGTCTATAAAAGTCCTTGGCCATATTGAATTCTTCTTTAACCTTTTGGGAAATAATTTCAAACTTATAAAAATACTTTGGTTCAAAGTTAAACACTTTTGTTCTGAGGAAGACCATTAAGAGGACAAAAAACTTTGCATGAGTAGTACAAAAAAAATACCCATATACCTTTCACCCAGATTCACCTATTACTTGCTATATTAGTTTCCATAGGACTTCCATAACAAAGTACCATAAACTAGGTGGCTTAAAACAACAGAAATTTATTTTCTCACAGTTTTGGAAGCTAGAATTCCAAAATTAAGGCTTTGGCAGTATTGTTTCCTTTCTGAGGCTCTAGAAGGATTCTTCCTTGCCTCTTGCCTCTTTCCAGTTTCTGGTGGTTGCTGGCAGGCCTTGATTTTCCTTGGCTTGTGGCAGCATAACAGCAATCTCTACCTCCATCTTCACAAGGCTTTCTTGTGTGTGTGTGTGTGTGTGTGTGTGTGTGTGTGTGTGTGTTTCCAAATATCCCTAATCCAGTATAACTCCATTTTAACTTGACTATCTGGAAGAAACCTATGTCCAGATAAGGTAACGTTCACAGGTTCTGGGTAGAAATGAATTTTTAGAGGCCACTAGTCAACCCATTGTTTTATCATTTTTGTTCTCTCTCTTCCTCTTTATGCATGTATGTATATAAAACCTTTACTGAGTAATTTGAGAGTAAGTTACATACAGCACTATCTTTTATCTCTAAATATTTTCATGTGTATTTCTTAAGAATAAGGAGATAAGAATTCTTTTGTTGTGCTGCATTGAAGTCATCAAATTTAGAACATTGCTGATGGACTATTTTAGTCTAATTCATTGCCCTTTTCCCAGTTTTGGCAATTGTTTCAATAAGATTCCTTTAAAGTATTTTTTCTTCCAGTGTAGTAGTCAATCTAGTATCACTTTTGCATGTAATTACCATGTTTCTTTAGGTTTCTTTAATCTGGACTTGTTAGTCAGCATTTCGCTGTCTTTCGTAACATAGACATTTTGAATAACACATTGCTCCTTTCTTAAAAAAATGTTTGTTTTTTAATTAATAGACTTTAGTTTTAAAGCAGTTTTAGGTTTACAGAAAAATAGAGTAGAAAGTATAGAGAGCTCCCATATGCCCCTCCCTTCTAACAATTTCCCCTAACACTATGATTCATTAGTGTGGTGCATTAGTTGCAAGTGTTGAATAAATATTGATATATTTCTAACTAAAGAACATAGTTTGCATTAGAGTTCACTCTTTGTGTTGTCCAGTTCTATGCATTTTGACAAATGTATGTTATTTATCCAACATTAAAATATCATAGAGAATAGTTTCACTGCTCTAAAAATTGCTTTTCCCTTACCTTCCCCAAACCACTAGCAATTACCAATATTTTTGCTGTCCCTATAGTTTTGTCTGTTGTAGAATGTCATGGAATAGCAATATGCATTTAAGGTTTTTTCATGGCTTTTTTTGTGATTTGAAGGCTCGCTTTTTTTCTTTTGCTGACTAATAATTCCGTTGTATGGCTGTAGCAAATAATGTTTATTCATTTCACCTAATGAAGGACATCTTGTTTGTTTCCAAGTTTTGGCAATTAATAATAAAGCTTCAATAATCTTTTGTATGTACATTTTTTTGTGGACACAAGTTTCCCACACATTAGGGTAAATACGAAGGAAGACGATAGATGGATTATGTGGTAAGACTATATAACTTTGTAAGAAACTAGCTGCTAAACTTTCTTCCAAGTTGGCTGTACCACTTTGCATTCCTAACAGTAATAAATGAGAGTTCTCTCCAACATTTGGTGTTGTCAGTGTTTTGTATTTTAGACATTTTAATAAATAGGTGTGTAGTGATATATCATACCTTAATTATATATAATGTTGAGCATCTTTTCATATGCTTATTTGTGTTTGCCATCTGTATTTACATTTTCTTTGGTGAGATCTTTTGCCCCTTTTTAAATTGGGTTGTGCAGTAGACTAAATGTTTGTATCCCTCCAAAATGTATATGTTGAAGCCACAATAACCAGTATGTTGATATTTAGGGATATGACATTTGGAAAGTAATTATGTCACAAAAGTAGAGCCCTCATGAATGGGATTAGTGCCTTCATAAGAAGACATACGAGAAATGTCTCTCTGTCATGTGAAGGTACCACAAGAAGGCAGCCATCTGCAAATAAGCAAGAGACATCTTACCAGGAACTGAATTGGCCAGCCCAGCCCCTGATCTTGGACTTCCTAGCCTCTAGTATTGTGATTAGTAAATGTTTGTTCTTTATACCATCCAGTCTGTGGTATTTGTTATAGCATCCCAAAATGACTTAAGACAGATTATTGGTTTTCTTATTGTTTTAAGAGTTCTTTGTATATTTAGGATACTAGGCTTTTGTCAGATAAGGCTTTGGAAAATAATATTTTTCTAGTGTTTAGTTTGTCCTTCCATTCTCTAATAATGTCGTTTTCAGAGTTGTTTTTAATTTTAGTGAAATCCATCCTACCAGTTTTTTTCTTTCATGGATCATTCTTTTGTTGTTGTACCTAAAAACTCATTGTCAGACCCAAGGTTGCCTAGATTTTTGTGTTATCTTCTATAAGTTTTATAATTTTGCCTTTTATGTTTAATTCTGTGATCCATTTATAGTTACTTTTTGGGAATGGTGTAAGGTTTTTGTCTAGATTCTTTTTTTAATATTTGTTTTTAATCTGATATGTATATGACAAAATTTGTCATTTTAACCATTTTAATTCAGTGGTATTAATTATATTCACAGTGTTTTGCAAACATCACTACTATCTTTTTCTAAAACTTTTCATTGCTCCAGGAACTCCATACTCCTTAATCAAGAACTTCCTATTTCCAGCTCCCCCCAGTCTCTGGTAACCTGTAATATACCTTCCATCATTATGAATTTGCCTGTACTAGATATTTCATGTAAGTGAAATAATACAATATTTGACCTTTTGTGTCAGTTGATTTTACTTAGCATAATATTTTCAAAGATTATCCATGTACTATGTTTCATAACTTCACTTTTTTTAATAGCTGGATAAAATTCCATCCTAGGTTTTTGCCATATTTTGTTTATCCATTTATTTGCTGATGGACACGGGGTGCTTCTGCCTTTTGCCTATT